TGGTATCAAAAAGAACTGCAGAAAAGAAATAATCTGGATGGCAGAAACAAGAAACGCCTTCCAAAGTATCAATGCAATAACCAGCTCGACAGCCTGCATTTCTACTTTGAGACTTTATTATTAATGTACGTGGGAGCAAGGGCATGGAAGTGAAAATTTTTTTGCACTATTGAAGGAAAAAAAAAATTGGAGGCTGCCTATACTAGGTAGGCTACTGTCTTCTCACTTTCTGCTTGTCCTTAGCCCCACTAAAAACTTGTCCAATGTGATTTGTATTTGTCTAATTTTAAAACGTTCCTATGTCCATTGTCATTGAAAACTGCTGCTGTATCAGAGTGATATGTTTTGAAAACTTTGCACTGAGAGCCCACCAGCAATTCCAGACAAAAACGCTGGGGAGTGGTTTCCCACATGCATGCATAATGTGCATACCAGCAAGTTTCCTTTCGAAAGTCCTCTATGAAAGTACCCCTCCCCTTAGATCCCCCTACAGTGCTTTGCCATAATCAAATAAACCAAACCTTGATTTACATAGCCAATGATAATTTCAAAATTAAACCATTGAAAAATGCACTTCACACCAATATGCATAAATTTCTTGGATCAAATAGCTTGGAACATCCTCTCTTTTTCCTTCTCTCTCTCTCTCTCTGAAGACATTTCTTCCACAACCATCATATTTCAGTTTTTACGCATCGAGTTAATTTTTGTGGTCCTACAGTAATTAATCCACGCCTTCAGTGTTAACTTCCTATCTTATGTTTTTGCCTAAACAGACAATATCAAATAAAGATAATAATAAAAAAACTTCAGTTCAGAGCATTCCTTTGCCTGGAATACAATCTGGCCACAATTTTCGCCGACCGAATTCATGTAAGTCACTTGTTGCCAGGTTTTGTCTAGGAGAATTAAGCAATGGGGAATATTAAAATGTTGTTTCCACACACTTCTGGGAATTAATTCTGTGTCAGAAGTCGTTACAAAATGCCAGTTGAGAGGGAAAAAAATGTTTCAGCTTCTTGAAATTTGAAATAACCTAATAATAAATGGGCTGTAGTCATACCAGGTGTAACATTCCCCTTCTCTGAAGAACACTTGGTCACCCACCCTAAAAGAAGGGACAGAGAACCCTCTTCTCGCCTTGGCTGGAAGAGGGGAGTGGGCTTTCCCCCCTGGTTGCAGGTGGGAGAGAGAAAGAGAGATTGAGATGTGAAAGAGAAAATAGCGGATGCTAGTTTTGCACGCTCTACTGTAGTGAAAATGTATTTTAAAGTATTTCTAAATTGTAATCTGTACATAGTTGTATATAAAGATAAATATTTAGCCTAGAACAGGTTTGTTTATTTGACGGAGATGCGACTATGGTACACAGGAATCAGGAACTCTATTGTGAAGAAATCTAACTCTTCCGCCAACTTGTTTGTCAAACCTAGACGATCTAGAGCATATGCATCATCAATAACCAAACGGCACTTTAATGGGAGACTGTTTTCTCGTAAGCATTTCTTTACGCATGAGGCAAGGAACTCGTGGATCCAACTCAATAACAAGATGCTTAGTTTTTCAAGCCTTATACCCTCCACATAATGAGTTTTTTGCTGAGTGGGACCAAAAGTAAACTTTCAGTTTTGTGCACCAAAAAATCTCTTTTCCTGCCCACTAGCCAAATTGCTTGTTTTTGTGTAAAAACTCTAATTTTAATTGTAAAAATTCTTTTTTTTAAATTGGTTTTAACTGTATTTGGTGTTTTATATATTTCTGAATTTTACAATTTTTAATGAGGGTGTTTTGAGTTTTTATGTATTTTTGACTTGCCATGATTTCATCATATCGGTGTTTGATTTTCTTACTAAAATGGCTTTAGAAAACTTTTTTTTTTTTTTTTTTTGTGTCTTTTCTTTATTAACATTTTGGGTGTTTACTTTATTTATTAAATATCCCGTTCTTTGCACTTACGCCACATAAAATTCATTTCAACAGCAAAATGCATATAACAAATAATAAACAATAATCTAAAACCAGCATATCTTTAGAATTCCCAATATACTGTCAGAGGTTACCATACATATTTTTGTATTTGCTATATTATTTCTTTAAAAACAAGCCACCTGAAATAGTTATCGCAATAAAGAAAAAGTATTTCATAAAAATATAAAATATTTCTAATTAGACATCTCATGATTTTAATACATGTTTATTTAAATTAAATATCCTTAAGAGTTGTGTTTATTGTTTTTAAAGCGCTTAGTTTATTATTCAAAAACCTTCCAAATTAAATTTGAAAGTATCCTAGGCTTTACTGAATGGCAACACACTGGTATGTACAAGATAATAGTATTTTATTTCCGGCTGCAGCTTACACATTGCTTTCATAGAGTTAGTTAATTGAAAACGAAAGATCTTGCATTTTTCCGAGTGGTGTGTTTGAGAGAAAAATGTTTTATTTCAAACGATATTATCACTGCATGCTTTCAAATCGCTGAGTTTGTTAATCAAACATTCATTAATGTTTCACAGAATATATAATAAATAACAAATTTGAACTTCAAAATTCAGGCTTCCAGATGCCGATGTTCGAGTGGACGACTACGTTATTCAAAATTGGATAGCTCTAGGTACTGTTGTTTTTATCACAATGTAAGAAACATACATGCATATATGCAGATTCTTCATTATTTAATTCTTTTAAAAATAATATAGGGTGATAATATTTCGTAGCAACAATTTGAAAAGTGACACACCATTTGTAGTGAACAAATGCAAAGTACCTTTTTGAAACTAATAGCTCCTTTTGGGATAATAATTTATGAGAAACAGAAGATTGAATGAATTGTTATGCAAGAGTGTTTACTGATTATGTATAATGAGGATAATACTGAGAGTATATATCAAATAAGAGATATGCTTTAAGGGAAAAATATGTAATATGTATAAAACTGTAATATGCTTTAAGGGGAAAATAATCAAAATTAATTATAAGCAATTCCTTCTCACTGAATATTTCAATGCCCAAGTTTGAAGTGGAAAGGTACACATTAAAATAATATAGGGTGATAATATGTTGTGGCAACAATTTGAAAAGTGACACACCATTTATAGTGAACCAATGCAAAATGCCTTTTTGACAATACTACTTTTTTTTTTTTTTTTTTAAATGCATTACCTTTGTATTAGTATGCTATTAGGGCATCGTTCCGTTGTAATAGTACACAGTGCTGAAATTTAAATTATGACATTTTTTTTAAATCCAAAGGTTGTGTTGCAAACTGAATTAGTAGGTTACAAAAGCTTCTTTGCAAGATGTAGTTAAAGCCACAGAAAAGCATGGATGAGAATATGATAAAGAAACACGACATCTAATCACACAGTGCCTGAAAATTAGGGTACAAATGAACAATTTTAGTCCATATGGTCATAAAAATCAAATTAATTGTTAGGTATTATGACAAAGTATACAAGGCCATCTGCCTAAGAAAACAAATACCTTTGAGAAGGATTTAGTTGGAATATTTGGCTTGTATTCAGATTACATATGGAGGAAAAGCATAATCACTAAGGGAAATGGGGGACTGGTAGAATTTTTTTTTAACGCAGGGAAATGTGAAAAAATCAATCTTGCCTTCATCAGGATTCGAATGAAGAATCTCCCAACTGACTGCCCTGCATACTAATCATTTTACACCGTGACAGCATGGACGGAGAAATGCAATAAATACTTCCATTTTCACCAATCATGTGTAACAAGATCCATGTGGTGGTGAAAATATTGTTATGAATTTTACACATATATTAATAATTTTAGTAAAATTAAATGTGAAATTGTACTATTTTTTGTATAACATGAAATGCTTGAAAGAGAAGGTGCTCTGCCATAAAAATTATATAGGAACACTGAGCAAATAAATGGCTATCTTGCTAAATTGGTGGGATATCCTTATGCTGGCAATGGTTTTGCTGAGAAACCACCAGAAGTTGCTAAACCTGGTGAGATTTTGGTCTGGTCCCTGTATAATTGTAATGAGTATTGTAATTGATTTACTATAATTCATCTTATACACAACTGTAACTGTATCGGGCCCTCATATACCCTCCAGTAATTCTGAAGAGTGGAAGGTACTAAATTTTATCAAGCTTCCATCAGTTCTCTGTGCATTTAATCTATTACGAAGCCATACACAACATGCAATAATAAGATATTCCATCATATTGAAAGTTCATCAGCATATTCAGAATGCACAACAAACAAGCTGCAGCGTATTTAAAAAAGATTTGATACAACACATAACATCATATACTTCATTGTTATGATGAGTAATTTTTTAAAAACTTTTTTAAAACCAGGTTTTTTTGGCCCGCTTTCTCCAAACTTATCCAATAATTTATTTAAACAGTTCCTCCAAGCAAATAATGGGCACACTGCTTATGAATAATAGTAATAATAATAATAAAAGGATGACTGATATAACAGGGAATTTTTATAAAATTATAACTAATTTTTAAATAAGGGACAGGTCTAGATTTCTTTTGCAATCAAAAAACAAAGTTAGCTTATTATTTAGTTATGTGAAATTGCTAATAAAGTTATATTTTATTAAAAAAATTTATGTCTTATGTAACATTCAGATATTACACATATACACAAACACAAAAAAAATTGTCCAAAAATTATTTTTTTCATGAAAGTGATTACAAATATACTGTTTCTCAGATTAGTTTTCAGCACTATCATATTAAAAATTAGAACACATCAAGTAAGCTGTGCAAGAACTGCATTAAACATATAACAGTCAATGTACACTTAATTAGCTCTAATTTTTGATTGTATAATAACCCATATAAACTATCTTAAATGTTAAAGTTTGGCGAATTTCATTCCATTTTAATTTAAACATGTACCTGAAAACAGAGACAGCATAAAGGATTATTTAGAGAACCTATACAAATTTCTTATCATTCAAAAATATTAAAAAATAATGGACTGAATAAAGTAAAGACAAAAATTTCAATGTCAATGTTTTTAATGTCAAATATTTTTATAAAAAATTATGCATAATGTAACATGCAGAATTTTCATGAATGGCAACAACTGAAAGTTCTAAAAATATTCATTTTTATATGTAAAAGGAATATTTGTCTCATCAGTTATGTACAAAATAATGTTAGGCATGTCATGGCGATTTCCATTTCACTGCACCTCCAATACCAAAAAAGTTTTTTTTCACAATATGACGAATACACTGTAGGATGACATTTCTTTCATGCCTTATGTCATCAGCCAAAAGCTGGAGAGAAAAAAAAAGCTTCATTCAGAAATGCAAATACAGTAAGTAAAAAAATAAAAATAACATTAAAATGTAACATGATATTATACCAAGTCCCACTGATCATCTTTAAAATGTAAATCAAATTATTTTTTAAATATTATTTGAAACCTAATAATCCTCTTCGTCAAAATAACATATAAATCAGTTCTTTTTAAGATATGATTTCCTGACTTATTCATAACTTAATAAATAATTAATATGCTATTTTATGGACTAACTAAATTTTATTACAAAAATTATAACAAACCTTTTCTAGAAGAGTGCTTTTACGCACAGGAACAGCTGGTGGATCTATCTTTTTGTTATTTTTCTCAAAACGTTTAGGATTTATATTTCCCTCCCCTTTATCAATATGCCTCTGATCTGTATCACCTGAAAGCAGAAAACAGCTGTGAAAATGAAAAGAGGAATTTGAAAAATAGCAATGAGTAGGTACACAACCTATTTTTTAAGATGTGCTAAGAATTTTATTTAAGATTAACCAATTCCACCAAAAAAAGGCCACTTGAAAGCATACATTTTAAATTTAATAAACCAAAAAATTATTCATTAGTGATATTAAATAATAACTGCAGCTCAGAAAACTACAAGAAAGATATTTATCTGATGGAACACACACATGAATGAAGATGTGAATAACTAAAACTAATACTTCAAAATTAAATCAAAAGCATCACGATAAATTTAACATTCAGTTTGCCTTCCTTTAACACTTGAATTTGAACAGATGTTCATGGAGTGTCATTCCATGAGCATCTAATCCACAATTAATCACAGTTCTACAGTACAAAGTCTGAGATCCAGATCCATCGGAATTTTGGCGATTTAAGATATTAGATCTCTGTTTAAATCTAATTAGATGACTGACATGTAGAAATTATAAATTAAAAAGGGGAATAAATATGAAATATTGCCTTGAGAATCGGGGGGGGGGAGCACCGCTTTATATTTACTAGTTTGCTTTATTAAACTTTCTCTCAACTTTCTTTTTTTGAAGTTGCTTTGTTTTTTATGGTAATGCTCTCTCTTTAATTCTACAAGTACACATAATTTCATTCATGTTTAGAAGGAAAAAGTAACATTAATCAACGTATTTTCACGAATATAGTTATATCAAATGGTTAGCCTAGACGACTGGTTACTATTTTTTTTTTTTATTTTACTGTAAATGACAAATAAGGCACTGCAGTTCATTTAATTTATGAAAAACAAAGCTTATCATTCTAGAATAAGAACACAACCATTTCTTGTTGAGCTAAAGGGTTCCATTCTTCAGGGTTGCCACTCAAACGGGAGAATGAAATTCCCTGACTTTTCCAGGTTTTCCAGGTATGTTTCGAGAAAATTCCAGTCTAAAAGCGTAATGTACGTTGGCTGTGCTAAGAGGTAAATTAATTATGGTACTTGTACTGTGTAGCAAATTCACTTAATTATTCAATAAATCCCAGAGGACATTTATTCTTAATTATTCTTGGTACACTTTGTTTGATATTTTTTTTTACTTTTCCGCTTAAAAAACTTATAAAATTTAAGATATATACATTGGATAACAACTGTACGTTTATTTAATTATTTACTGATCATCCCCAGTTCAACACGAGGCTAATCCGGTTCTTATAAATCACAACGCAATGCTAAAAGTTAGGTAGATTTTAGGTAAATTTAATTTGTGTGAGGTGTTTCTTAAAAGGCACCTTAAACTTGAAAACACAAATATAATATAATAGGAGTTGTTTTCTCCACTGAAGATGAGATCAGAATCTGCCCAATCGGAATAAAAAAATAAGGGTTTTTTGCAGACATTGCAGCTAAACGAAAAAAGATATCTATTTAATGATATTTTTTTACTAAATGAGGTATTTTATATTTTTCGTAGCATACATAAGCAAAAAATATGTACATTAAATTTCGTGATGTCATCATACTGCTAGAATTAATTTCAGGATTATGCCAGAGAAAATTTCCTGAAATTGGAAATATTATTTACTATGATAAATAAATTTAGAGGGAAGAAGAAGCAACATTAAAAATGATATGAATAACATAAAAAAAGATAATACTTAAAAATTTAATTAGATAATCATGATATTTTAGCGAAATAGTTATATTACATGGTTATCCTAGATGATGATTTACTATTTTTTATTTTACTGGAAAATGACAGGATTTATTAAAAGAAAAGAAAAGAAAAAAAAAAAAATTTTTGCGGTAAAATCCTAGTATACGATATGGCCTTCGCATGATTTGAAATGTCGCCTAGAACAAAATGACCCGTTTATGCCATATCATGTCGCAAATCCCGCTGTACATACATGGAGATTATTCTCACCAAAGAACGTCTATGTAAAAAGCGGAGGGAAAATTTGCAAGGGTTGACGACGGAACGGAGAGAATTTCCTCTCTGCGAAGTGTACAGGAAATTGAAGAAACACGTGTTAAGATGAAACGTTCTTTGACAAAAAAGAAAACTACAAAAATCCGTTTTTTAAATTACTGCGAAAAATCTAAGAGAAACGTTTATCAAAGAACGTTTTTCTTGGATTTTTCGCAAATTTAAAAAATGGATTTTCGTAGATCCCCCCCCTCAAAAATAATAATCCATGAATACTTCTGCACCAAAAAATTTTCTTTCTTTAGATTTAAAGTTTTAAACATTCATTTTATGAACTCTTGATAACGTGACCTCGAACTTCGACACGGTTTGGCGACAGATATATCGCGCATGCACAGTGTTTCCCGCTATGATGGAACCGAGCACGTCTGTTGCAGAGAGGTTTTCCTCTTTATAATACATATTTTTTTAATTCTAACCTCATGGTACGTAACTAGGATTAAACCCATTTTGTTTATACGAGAACAGGGTACTTTCTTTAGTTCATGCACTGCACATGCGATTTTCGAGGTTACTGGAAAACCAAAGTTGGAGGGGAAACTGCTTTGCCTTTCTAAAAAGACATCAATTTGGAGCTGCGAAAACTGGCTCTATGCCAGCTGCCCAAATGACACTCACGTGATACACAATTCACAAAAAAAGTGATCTCTTCCGACGTCGGCGCAAAACTCGCCTTTTTTAGTGGGACCGTTGTATGAAGTTCCCTGATTTTTCCCTGAATTTTTTGGTCAATTTCCGAATTCCCTGACTTTTTTCGGCTTTCCCGGTTTTCCAGGTAGCGTGGCAACCCTGTATTTATTTAGTAGCATACGTAAGCAAAAAAATATGTGCACTAAATTTCATGATGGTATGTCATCATATTGCTGGAATTAGTTTTAGGATTATGCCAGAGAAAATTTCCTGAAATTTGTATTATTTACTAATAATAAAAAAATTTAGAAGGAAGAAGTAACATTAAATGATATGAATAACATTAAATTAAAGCTAATTACTTAAAAATCAAATTATAATAATCAATGTATTTTCACGAATATAGTTATATCAAATAGTTAGCCTAGACGACTGGTTACTATTTTTTTTTTATTTTACTGCAAAATGACAAATAAGGCACTGCAGTTCATTTAATTTATAAAAAACAGAGCTTTTCATTCTAGAATAAGAACACAACCATATAAAGCACTTTTTGGCTACAAACCTAAAGTATAATTTCTTCACCTTTGGAATAAGAAACCAAACATTTAGTTTTGCTCACTAAAATGGTATATAATTTTATGTACAAATCATATGTCATAAATATTAAATAAAAAGTGACAAAGCCAATATGAAACATACTCAAATATGACTAGCATCATAACATCATTTTTATAATTAGTTCTCACCTTTAGCAGCACGTCTAGAACATGGTACCTCTGCACTTGGATAGTCAACAGAATTTGAACTTTCAATTGAAGATTTAATAATTGGGATAACTGTGGGTGGTTCGTCATCAGAATCTAAGTCAAATGAAAAATAAATTAAATAACGACACATAAAATGAATAAAAATTCAGTCCTTACAGAAAATAAACTTAATTACCTTTATTTTATTTTTTAAATTTCAGTTAATTAACTACTAGGTCTTCTGGCTTTGCAGTATTTTGGAACAATACAAATGAAATGAATTAGTGCAAAGCATTCATCCATGTGTCATTTGCCGTCTAGAACACGGAATCCCAGCAGAAGAATCAGCCAGCCCAAATCGATGAAAATAAGCCCGTGGGCAATTCTATCCTGTCAAAAGTCTGAATTTTGTGATAATAACATACTTGGGTGAATTCAGAATATATATGAAATCGCACTAAAAATATCCCAATCCTTCCACTACATGGTTGCAATAATTCTGCATGACAAATCTGCTTGTAAGTTAAATTTGTCAAAAGCTTTAAAGAATGGAGGCAGATGCTCTTATGTTTTGGCATAACCATGACTCCCTTTTCAGTAAAGAAGTCAGCTTTTTCATTACTATCAATTTTGCAACGGGAAGGAACTCGTCAAAGAGCCATTCTTCACTGGAAGTGCCTTAAAATTTCTCGACCTCCTAAAGCATATACCTGAACAATCTTGATTTAGACATAAGACATGGAAAGTAGGGGTTGGATAAAAGAAAATTGTTGCTTTTATGACAGCAGTATGCTGCAATTTTAAATTGTTAGAGAGCTACAGATGTAAGTTGCCATCAAATGAGTGCTGTTATTTCCAACATGAAAGTAAAAGCTAAGAAGAGTTCATAAGAAAATTTCAATCAATTGTATTTTTTTCAATTCCACCTAACAGGAATTAAAGATATTTTTTACTAAAACGGACCTAATATTATTTTAAACAATGGTCAGAACTTTAGAATTAAATGATAGGTCTGATATTACATGCAGGAATTTTTTTTTACATGAAATTAATGAATACACGTTTTACATGCTGGTGACAATCAGTAAAGAACAAAAATTATACGACACAGTGGAAATTATTTTGATTATTAGGTATTTCTAATTTTTACGCTATCAAATGCACTTTCCTCAAAAAGGTACTTTATACCCAATGCTGATTTCTTTAAATGTCTGTAACCTAAGTTTATATTATCATAATAAGGAACACTTCTACTTGATATATTCAGATTGTAATCATCATCTCTTTGCACATAATATACAAACTTTCTATAAAAAGCAAACGTGCAGTGGTGTCTGATACTGTTGTTGGCTGAGTCATCTGTACAATATATTCACAATTCCCAACCAGACTTTATTCTTTTTGCTTGAAAATTTAAAAAATATACCTAGAGATATCTCAATGAAATCATCTGCAGCTTCAAATACATATAAAACTTCTATTAATGATTTACAGCAAAAACATCAAGTTAACCCAGTTTCATAATTACAGAATTCATATCTAATTTGTTATAATAATACTGAATAAAAGAGCAACGTGGATAAAAAATACATTAAACACGCAGAGCAAAATTTATGCAATAAAACAGAACAATGAATAATTAAGAAATAAATTCAACTTTCTGGAAGATTTTTGGGAAACTGTGTTTCTGTACCTGGATTGTCCACTGAATTCGAGTTTCCAGTCACAGTAGTTTTCAGAATTGGAAGCACAGTGGGTGGTTCATCATCCGATTCTAAAGCAGAATGCAGAAAATAAAAATCATTTTGTAAATCCCATGAACATATAAACAAGATTTATAAGAATGTGATTTTATGCAAGTAATATAACTATATTTTTGTTCAGTAACTTAGTATGCAAATATATTTGGTAATGCAGGAATACTTTTGTGAATTTCCAAGCTTTTAAACTACTGCTATGTCTTATTGACTGTCACTGGCAGCAATAAAGAACTCGTATAATTTTTTTTATGCATAAAAACCAGTACTTTTTTTTAAAAAAATCAGTTTTAAGTTCAAGACTGAAGATCTTCATAAAGAATAAATTTTTACATTTTCTTTGCATCAGGAAGTAGAAGATAAGAATCTAATAGCATTGAATTTATAGTGCAGGAATTATTTAATTATTCTAAAAATGTATATTTTATACTTGAAGTTTAATCATTATTATTTTTATTTAAAGGAAATAATTATTAATTCCTGTTCAAGCTCTTTTTTTTTAATACCAAACAACTGTTTTACTCAAAATATAAATATTTACCTATATTAATAGCTTCGATATGGCATGGTGATTTTATATTCTCGCTGACATGAAGATCATCAGAACCTACACGAATAATCAGAATTCAGAAGTTATGAATAAATTTTCATTAATCATACTTTTATTAAAGCTTGAAATATTAAAAAAACACATGTGGTTATGTAAACCTTTTGAAATACTGCAAATAAAACCTCTTATTATAGATTAAGTCACATAATTAATTTTAATAACACATTTAAAGAAATCAAATGAAAATTTTGGTACAAGGGGGGGGAAGGAAGAATTATCTGAAGTAAGCTAAAATTTAAATATACACATATCCTTTTGCAGGTTTGTCTTAGACCTGAAATAAAGATCGCATACATATAATATCAGAAGTTGATGATTTTTACAAATTAAATCAAAATGTTAGATGCACTTTTGATGTATTTATAGTAAAATATAAAATGCATTCTCATTATATAATGTACTCAATAATTTTAATAAACACCAATAAATTAAAAACTATTTAATAACAGATAACAGATAAATGATATTAACAATGTAAAACTGCTGAAAAATTATATTATTCCCGCCTATAAATTGCTCAAAAACTGAAAGAATTATTCTAGTTTAGATGGTGACTATATATTTATAAGTTGCAAAGATTTAAATGCCATAAAATAATATAAAATTATATTTGTTATTAACTATAGCTAGATCACAAGCACCATGACAGTTTTATAACTTTTTCACTAATTATTCTTATATCTTTCATTAATTATTGTGCAATATTGATAGAAAAATATTTAAAAAAAAGTGAATCATACATAACAACAAATCTAAAATGTGCATTACACTGATCACAAATAAACTGGATGATACAATATAGTTCAAGACTGATGAGAGGAAAGAATGAAATAATGATCACTAGTTGGAAAGAGAACAAGAAAAGGAATAACTAAATTTTTCAAAGAAAAGGAAATCAAAGAACTCTGCAGTGCCCTCACCGGTATTTGAACTCCGGACCTCCCGAACACACATTGGAAAGTACGAAGAAAATATATCATAAAGTAATATATGAATCTGATTTAATTAAAAAGAGATTTTTGAAGACTGCATAGCAACATTTTTTTTTTTTTTTTTTTTTAAAAACTGGAACACAGGAAAAAGGTCTGAAAGGTATTCTCATTATCTGCGCCAATCTAAAGAAGTATAGCGATAACAGATGAGATCACATGATAGTACATGAGTCAAGTAAATGACAGAAGCAGTCACACAAAACAAAATATTGCACAAAAATGCTCAGTTCAATATTTTGTATTCTTTTCAGTTATTCATTCTTAATTTAAAAGAAAAGGTATTTGAATATTATAAAATCTTCCCCCTCTCTCTATATATAAATAGATAATCTTAAAACCTTAAAACGTAATAAAACAATTTCTTCTGCAATTCCTTAATGAGATTCTGCTAACTACAACAGATTTCCTAGGACTTTATTTTCCATACAATTCATTATGAATGCATTAAAAAAATGATGTTATATCTCTACAAAGAAAAAATTATATTTCTGAAGGTTCTTAATTATGACAAGCTTTCTACTTTCACTTTCAACTCAAGTTTGCTATTTTAAAAGAAATAATTCTTTGTTGCAAGCATGTTTATTGAGTTATATCCCCTCACAAACACTGCTTATCAAATTTAAGAAAGACATGGAATTAAAATGATACTGCCACAAAACATCGATAAAAATCAGATGTTAATGTGATCCTCATTTTTTAATTATCAAGAGCACTATTACATTATCAAATGAGTGTAAACTAAAGGGTAATAAAACGTTTTCAGCAAACTGTGCACAATAAATTATTCAAACAATGTAAACCAAAACTAAACTTTACAAGCAGTAAATTAAATACCACATGTTACATAACAACAACATAGAATGAACTATCCATAATTATGTCCGCTATTCATAAGTCACAAAATAACATTGAAATATTTGAAAAACTAACCAAAAAAAGGGAAAGAAAACTTACAAGTGTCTTAAAGCATTGTGACTTCAGCAGGCAAGCTAAAATCCTTGGCTTCCATTTGAATCACAGAATGCTAAGATTTGCTCACTGCTATGTTTACCTGAAGTGCAGCATTGCACTGTAATATTAACTCAATGGGACTTTATTAGCCATGAACTTAAATATTATATGTCATAAATAGGGCATGGATTTTGAAAAAATACTACTTTCTCACAATTCAACATAATTAAATAAGTATCTATTTTTATATTAGAAGTTTTGAACTTCTACATGTCTATTTATAAACATTTCAAAATAATTTTCTGGGTTTATAAAAGTAACTTTTGAACAAATTTTTCCCTCTTATACAGAAGCTATACTACAGCTACATTTACACACTGTTAGGAAATTAAACTGAACTGTAGAAAAACTCCCTACTCAAATGCAGAAAATAACCATTCGTATATCTGAAAATACATAATATATATATATATTAGTGTGTAAGTACACCTTGCACAAAAAAATAAGAGGGGGGCGGTTTTACATCTCCTGTCTGACTCTGCTGATTGATGAAATTTAATTTGAGTTTTTCATGTCTCGAAAACATGACTTAGGATAAATATTAGATTTATATATAGCATTGTTCTAACATAGGTGTTCTGACATAAAACTGAACTTTTTATGCAATGACATACCTATTTTTTCCCCATACTTCGATTCTACAATTCAAATTATACAAAAGTGCCAAGTTTTATAAAATTTGACCAATCAGTTTTTAAAAGATTAGCTTTCAAAATTTTAGCTCTTCAGTGCAAATTGAATTTGGTATATGTTTATTAATATCTTTTTCTTTTTAATTAAACTTACTAGATTCCTTCTTTTACAATTCAAAATTTAAGTTCAATATAAAAAAATTTGCAGATACTTTCTGATTTGCTTTTTAACTTGTATTTTTTAGCACTGTTTTAATAGTTAGCTAGGATCAGCAATACTCCAGTCATCTATGGTACTACAAAGTGGCTTATCTAGTTTCTATCTGTACCTGTCAATCTATGAGTACAGGTATGGGTACAATATTAGATTAAAATGTAGTTCCATTATTCCCTGAATTAGCACAGTCACAATTTAATCTTGAAAGATTGGGAATCTTTTCACCATTTCCATGACTAGCAATCAACAGGTCTTTTTATAAGCTACTAACCACATTTCTAAAATAGTAATTATAAAAAAGAAAAATTTATAATGATTTTAATGAGTAGAATATTTTTTTATAGACTACAATAATTTCATAAAAACCTTGATTTAAAAAAACAGTAAAAAAAAACTATTCTTAAGAGCTGCATTTACAGCTTTTAAATTGCTTGGTTCATTAATCAATAGCATACAGATTAAACTGAAAAGTTACATATCTTATGCTTTTCCAAGTGGCAACATACTGTCATCTGGAAGGTAAAATTAAAAGCAAAATGTATTACTTTTGCTGAATGGCAACATAGTAAAAATCGAGTAAAAATGTTTTACTTCCAACTGTGTTGTCACTGTTGGCTTTTAAATGAATAAGTCTGTTATTAAAAAATTCATTAAATTCATAAAAATATGAAATAAATCAAAAAAAAATTTAAAATCTGGACTTCAAGGGGTACTTGTCTGGGAGGCTCTAGACATTGCTGTTCTTCAACTATGCACGGAACCTACATACACATAGATACTTATTTGAATTATTTTGTGTACCTTATCATCAGCATATCAGTAAGTAAAGTGTTAAGTTTGTGAATATTATTCCTTTAGCTTGCTATCCCCTCAATATTTAACTTTCTGTTTGTTTCAAACAAAATTCCACTAGTACAGAAACTTCCCAATTAAAACATTTGATCATTCCATTGAATACTTTCCAAGCAGCAGCTTTTTGAAACATTAATTTTAATTGGAAATGCCTTATATATATATATATATATATATTTTATAATTTCAATATCTATACAACCCATCTTATACGCCCACACGCGTTCTAATGAGAAAGTATACTTTTAACAGCATTTAATATCCTCACTCTGAATATTCAATACTATTACGCGGTTTAAGCTACTGACGTCACTTTGCCGGTTTTTCCCGTCTCACCATCCAACCCTCTCGTCTATGTGGTCCCCTCAGTGCCTCCACACAGACGGCCAACCACCCCACCAAAAAAATTCCCACTGGATTCCACGAACATGGGTTACCCTTCTTCCCCCAATCGCTGTGCGACCCACGACTTTCTTGTTGGCCTATTCCATTCTCCGCAGTTTTCTTGCATTCTTCCCTTCTGATTGCATTAAATTACTTCGCGACGCGCATAAACCACCTAGAATCCTGCAGTTTAAAGTCCCTCAGTATTGTTACCATAGTGCCACTCTGGCGCTAGGTTCACGTCAACGGATCTATTTCGTCTATTATCTTCGAATGCCCCCTGATCTCTTGCAGATTGAATTCTTCGTTGCACGTTCCCTACTTAATCTTTTAGCACGATGTCCCCGCCCTTCGCAACCCTCCCCCCAAAAGAAGAAACCGTTTTCCAGCCGGTTCGTATTTCTTCATCAGCCTCTCCTCGGACGACCCCCTCCATAAACTGCCACACTACCGTCTTCCACCTTATGCCGTCCCTCTTAAACACTTCGTTCTCGACACACTTCCCGGATTAAGCTGCTTTACTTCGCACTCCGGCAGGGTTCTCTTGGTTCTTGCGCAAGGCGTCTCCGATTGGCCTCACGTCCCTTCCCGCTGGTCCCTCTCCCCACGCATGGTGTCCATCCCCGTTATTCGGCTTCGTGGCCTTACCCACTTCCACTTTTGATCTTCTCCAAACTTGCATACCGCTTACTAACGGCATCAAAAACCTCACCGGCGCTAACCCCCACCCTTTTCCATCATTTTTAACGCAAAACCGTCCTTTCCAAACATAAGAGCAGCACTGAGGTTTGAGCTGGGTAACAGAGGAAATATTATATATAAATCTGTTTATCTAGTTGGGCCCGACTGAAACCAAATTTGATTCGTGCATATTACTTGTTTTAGAGTCCCGATATCCAACCTTTCCGTTCTGAGGCTAGTGTTTGCAGTATCCGAGATACGTAGGTCGTACGTCCTCAGGTACGATGCCATGCAAAATTCTCAGAATCATTTTAAAGCAGTTATATTATATTCTATATATTGGAGGAAAGAGTACTTTATTCTGTTACGCACACAAAAATTGTAAATTGCATTCGCTAGCGGCAAAAATGGATTTCGTGAAATTGTGCCTGAAACTTTTCGCGATTACAATACTTCCTTTTTACTTCGTACAAGGAAGTAAAAAGGCAAGGGACAGACTTAATGTGCCTGAATGATTTACTCTAATTTACAGTATTATGATATTATACCCAATGGTTAGAAATTATACTACAACTCAGTGTTTCCCTATCATTTCATATCTAAAGCAAATCACTATTTTGTCAGAATTGTTTTAGAAACTTAACAATAGTATCAGAGACTGGACATGAAATCCTACTCACGTATGAATGGGTATTATGTAAAATACTGTATGTCATTCTATAAAATTTATTTGTACATTAGATTAGATTTACTCTTAGCTCATAATGTTGATGCAATGCACATTCTTAAATTGGAATATGGTACTTGCGTGTTATTGCAACCATCCAAGTTGAAATCCTCAAATTTTCTGAATGTGCCAAACTTTGGCATACACGCCCACATTCTTAAGTCAATTAATGTTACTATTTCCGTGTGCATTCTTTTCGATGTAGTCCAAGTATCATATATTTTTTGCCTTAACTTTAAAATATGGACTTGTGGAATTTGCCAGGAATGGAAGAAACTCCAGTAAAATTCCTGCAATAATACAGAATTCTGCTGGAAAATTTCTAAAGGGAACTTCAAGAAGATGCATTTAGTAAATAATTGCTGTTACTGAGTCTCTACAATTCTCTGATTTTTTTTTAAGGTTAAACATATAACTGTATACTACGGGAGAATTATGATGCAAAAACAAATTGCAGAAAGATTTGAGAACAATATTTTAATATATTACATAATTCTTATTTATTAAAATTTATATTTCAAACTGCTAAATTACATTTTCTTTGAATGTGTTCGTAACATTTGCCAACTTACAATAAATATTGATAGTTTAGGAATCTTTAGAAAAAGTTGCGAAAACAACTACTTGTACCCAAATAACCAATCACTTTTACCTTTTCATCTGTAAAAATTTAGCCAAATTGAGCTAAAGTGGTTGTGCTAATACCTACATACCTTAATTTAATATCACAAAAGGGATATTAATGAGCAATGCAAATATAAATACTTCTTTATTTCAAAATTTCAATAAATTACTTTCAGGAAACTTTTTGAAAGATAAAATGCCATGATTTAAAATTTAATCTCTATTAATTGAGTTTTTAATTATCTAATGTTCCACCATACTAATAATGATCAAACTATAACATACAATTTTTGAGATGTGGTTGGCATTGTATCAGCATTTAATAATATTGAAAATTTGAAACATTCTTAACATTTTAAACTAGGGATAGTGAACCTCCACATAACTATTCTCTTGCAACCTTTATTTCAGATACCAAAGAACCTTAATCCATTAAAAAAATATTGATTTTGTTAGCTGCAATTTCAATGAGGATTGACTTTTTTTTTCAACTTATAACTTTTAGTTTCTAACAGATTCTTGATAAAAATACATTTTGTACTGATAAAGTTCTGATGTACTTCTAACCAACGCACGGCTATAAAACTCGTTAAAATTACACTCTAGAAGTAAATATAGATGTAATAAAAAGAAAATGTGCATTCCAAACCATATCAGTATATATTTTTAAGTTGAGCAATCACATTTTGAAATTTACATCTCTTTTATCCTTTCAAAAGGCAGTTTTGTATTGATTACCTAAATGCATAACAGATAAAACAATTACTAAGAACCTTAAAATATTTTCTAAATAAATAAATAAACTATTTGTAATTTCTTTCTTTCTTTTTAATTTCGTACTCAACAACTGCAAGTTGGCATAAACTTGCATTTTTGCAGCTTGAAACATGCAATAAAAAATTGACAAACCCTGTGTGGACACACCTAAAAATTTCCTTCTGTACGCACAGAAAAATTGAATGAAAAAGGATTTATAGGTTACTCTGAACCTTCTTTATTTATAGTAGATGGCAGCTCAACACAAACCAGTCCATACATTTTAGCCATGTTTAGTTTTTTTAAGACCATCATTTTTACAAAGAAATCTTCCAGATTGTTTTTATGGTATAAAAGGAAATGTTTAAAGAGAAATTTCTATGTTATGGTTTAGGCTGTATGCTAATCTCCGTATTCTATATTAATTTGAAAATTTTACCTTGAAATCTTGCCTAAAATTAAACGGCGAACTAGGTGTGCCCAGACTGGGGCTCACCGATAATCTAAGACAACTGAGAGTCTGTACTTTTTTATTTTCCGCATCTCATCGGTCAGTTCATTGACAACAACGCTCGTTTTAGCACTATCAATTTTTTCGAAGCTCTGTTGAATCAGAGTGCCTTTGGGACACCACAGAATTAATAGATAAGTGCTATCTTCACAAAATTTTACTTGTTTACTCCTCTAGGCCTACTGCCTACCTTTTTTTTAAATCAAAACTGCGAATTTAAAAGGTAGCGTGCCAGAAAGGGTTAAGCATCAATTGTGGGTTTATAATGGGTTACCTAAAACAGACTTGATATCTTGGTGCATATTTGGTATGCTTCTTATTTTGGCCTGATGCAATTTTTGCATTTCTTCGTGCATAGAAAATGGCATTTGCTACCCTGATGTTAAAATAAAACTTGCTATTACATAGATAATGAGAGAGTAATTTATGGCCTTAATTAAGTAATTTTAAACCTTAATGCAGCAAAAGTTTTACATACGTTATACATTTGCCGACTGCAGACTTGCAAAGCATGAATTTGAGCATATGTGTTTTCGAAATTGTCTCCACTTAATTTACTCAGTGCAGAATCCAATTTCAATTATATATGCAGTTTGCTGCAGAATGTTGGCTGAATTGTGATAGTCATTTTAATGGGTGGTTCAAAAATTCATTCATTTAAGAAGATAAAAGTTGCTTAAAACAACATTTGAAGCACAACTTTTGAAGTTTATCTAGTTCTCAATAATGCTCCAGGACACAGTGCTGAAGCCCTCGCAACATTACATTGAGATTTTATTCCTTCCACCGAACACCATTTCTTTAATTCATCCAATGGTACCAAATCCTAAAAACATTCTGAGCCTATTATGTCAGGCATGTTTCCTTCTCTGTAAATAAACCATTGGAAGAAGAACTCCATGGCACACTAATGGTATATTGCAAGCAATTCAACAAAATCCACTGCACTGAAATGAATAAACATGCATGGGAACAAATGAATCCATCAGCAATGTACGCTTGCTGGCATTAGCTCTGGCCAGAAATGGTCAACAGCTTTAAAAAATTTCAAATGACTGAAAATGAAGCCATATTGGATGGTCTTACAACAGAAGCAGACGGTGAAATCAACGCTGAAGACTAAGAGCCTTTAACATACAAGAAATTAAACCAACTGTTAAAAAAGGCACAGGAAGAGTCAGATTTTGAAATGGAGATAACCCAAATAAAGGAAGAAGATGATACTTTATGAGAGGTCTTCTTCACGTGAAACATTTAATAAGTTACATTGGATATTGTCCCAAGCAAAAAATTAACAGTTATTTATTTATTTTTTTAATGAATCATGTACCTACTTATTAAGCATTAACAGAAATTCCTTTAAAACAAAAATTTATTTCATTTTCCTTTTTTAATTGCAATATTCTTTAGGTTTTTATAAATTATACATGGTTTTGTAATCTGAACTATATCTAACGCGCCCATTTTTTTTACAGAAAGTTAATTTTGCACAATGGGATTTTGCCGTAGATGCAATGCGTTAATGACATAACCCCAGCCTTCAACAAGAGTTTACTGCATTCAGTTTAAGCATTTGGAATTAGCATTCCGAAGAACTTAATGAAAGTGTATATTAGCATGTACTAAATAACTGCATGACTGAATCTCGAAAAATATTTTATAGTTATATTATTTATCCAGTAAAACTCACCATTTCAGATTAATGAGCATTTTAAAGAGGTGAATATTTGAGCATGAAAAACTCATAATATTCTCACATTTCTATATATTTTATTAGTATGAAAACATGGTTTACAAATGACACACAGCAAACAAGTAAATATATAAAATATGAATTGAGGTAAAAGCATTTTCGATAAATATAAATGCCAAATTATCTTACCGTTATTACTGCCACCATTCAACTGACATAATGAATCTGATTCCTTTACTTCATTATTTAAATTTGATAAAGGTAGAGATACTTTATTAACGGGTGGCACTTCACAAGATTCAGATTTATCGTTCAAGAATTCCTTATCTACACATGATAATTTTTCAACTTCACTGACACTTTCAGATTGAAGATCTAAACTATCTACATTCAGATTACAAAGGCCTGAAGCATTTGGTACCACACTATTAGCATTTACACTTGACATTCCTAAAAACTTTGGAAGAGATATATGAGAATCTGAGTCAGAATCAGTATCAGAAACAGTAATCATGGCTTTGGATGCAACAGGTTGTGAAAATTTCTCATTTCTTCTCTGATGGGTCTTGGATCGATGAAATCGGTTTCCACGATTACGCACATTCTTATTTTTTATGTCGGCGGGATCAAATTTTCTTCGCTTGAACTTTCTAGGCAAAAAGAATTCAATTACTAAATTATTAAGCTAAACAAATAAATCATTAAAATATATATAACATGATCACCTTTTGTATATATATAAGCAAGTTCTACAGAATATATTAATTTCATGCCAAGATTGTAAGGGTACTTTTATATAAATTCATACCATTTGGCTCTTTTTTACTTTCAAGCATTTAATTGGTGGCAGGTATCATCAGTTTGGTTCGGATTACTTTCCTTATGATAATTTTCTCCATAACTACCACTCATACAATTATGTTTTTCATCTAATCATGTAAAAAATACTGCAATGAATTTCGCATGTCGGGATTTAGAAAAGAAAAAAAGGAACAAGTGGCTAACCTGGTTCTTTAAAAATGATATTCTTTGCAATGAAAGACTGCATTTAAATAATTACCTAAAGAAATTAAAATATCACTTGAAGCCAAAATAGCAATGTCATTGTTCCTGAAGAAAAAAAATGTGTCCAAACACAAATGCGGCTTGTTGAATAAAACACTTCTTACTTTTCTGCCAATTCAGGATTTAACATCTACCGAGTTTTGCAAATCAAAACTTTAAATAAATCACAATTTACTTTTTCTGGAATAATTTCATGACAGATAAATGTAACAATTTCTTTTTATCTTGCTGTAAGATTCAAATCGACAGACACTACAAAACTGCGGAAATTGATGACAGCTTATAATGGGGAAAAAGGGGGCGAAGTCATGTTTTCTTCCCACAACAGCTTTTTCGATGATTTTGACATGAAATTAGAGAATGTTTTCTTGTTGCTACTAACAGCTCATTGTGTTTTGTCTAGAACTAAGCAAAAAGCATAGCTGCCAACCTTGAAATACAAAAGTGAGAATTTTCAGGATGGTTTTGTGCTGTGGCAAAATTTCAAAAGAGCCCTAAATTGACTCAAATTAGCTTTATAACGCATAAACCAGATTATTCAATTATGTATAATATGATTTTGATGTAAAATACATTAATATTTAATTAAAAATTTTGTATGGGGGCTGATACAATATTGTACCTTTTCTATACTTTTAGACTGATAAAGATGAAAATAGGGTAGGAAAGCTTTAGTTTATCAAGGTACTTTTAAACATAATGAAAATTACATAATTAATGTGCATACAATCGTGTGGATAAACTAGTAATGCACAATATATAAGTGTGAAACAAAATTAAATGTAAATATTTACTCATTAAACATTGATTGAATCTTCATATAAAGTTCTACAAATATCTACAACAGATTAAGAGAATTCAGTCAAAATAAAATTAAATTATACAAATTATTCTGAAAATCAAATAAATATTACATAAAAACATAGCAAAGACAAATTTTGCCTTATACAGAAGGGTTGGATGTGAAACTGTAAAGTCACAATCAAATCTTAAGTTGATGAATTCGGTGCCATGACAAGAGATCCCAAATACTACATTAGATGGGGAATACCTCACATAAGGTAAAAGTCGGAGAAGAGTCGAATCCAAGTACAAAACACAAGTTCCAAATAACATTTAAAGGAAAAATTTTCTGAAGTTGGTTATTGCATTCATAATGTCGAGAGGACGTCAGGCCTTGAGACCCAGTTAAAAACCTAAAAGCCAAAGCTAGCAATTTTTACTTGGAATATCTAACAGATTTCAATACTTCGTTTGCTCAATGAAAATCTATTAAGTTTCTTTAGATTGCAGTTTTAATAGTAACTTACCCAAAATCTTTAGTCTCCAACACTTCACCACGAGCTTCTTTTTCAGCCTGCTCTGCTTTCCGTTTCTTTATATTTTCAGCTGTTGGAAAACGCCTAAGTATATACATATATTTTAAGTATTTATATCCTATATTAATGGAAAACATACACAAATGTATATTTTCAAAACAAATTTTTTCCTTATAAAAATGCAATAAAATTTTATATTATCCATCCAAAGCTTTTTCAAAAACCTTTTTTTAAGACAATCAATCACATAATTCATATAATGTCGATACTGTACTACAGGGTGTTTATAAAGTCCCAGACCCATTATGATGTTTAATAACTCTTAAAATAATAAAGATAGAATAACTCAAAAAGTTTCATGACCCTTGTCAATGAATTTCCATGTGTGCCCCCTTTTGTCGCACGGAGAATATCAAGTCGACATTCAATTTCACGCCAGGTACCGGCAAGCATGTCGGCATCCACAGAGGCTATTACGGTTGTAATTCTGGCTTTTAGGTCATCAATGTTCGACACACTCCTCCTGTAAACGTTGTCCTTTACAAATCCTCAAAGGAAAAAGTCCAGTGGCATTATATCAGGTGATCTGGGTGGCCAAGGAATTGGACCTCCTTGCCCAATCCATCTTCCTATAAAATGCTCATTCAAAGAACTACGAACGATGGTACCCCAAACAGTGCACTATCTTGTTGCAAAAAGACATGTGGCTGAAGCTCTTCTAGTTGTGGAAATACGAAGTTTTCCAACATGTCTAAGTATACGACTGATGAGACCATCTTTTCTGTAAAAAAGAAAGGCCCAATGGACTCGGTCGTGCATTAATCCACACCACACATTAACCTTTGGGAAATCCCTTTGCGCCTCACGGTATTCATGGGGGTTTTCAGATCCCCATATGCGCACATTATGGTGATTAATAATGCCAGAAAGATGAAGCAATTAATAAGCAGACGATATTTAGAAAAGTACAGATATTTAGACTGGAAAATGAAATTATCTGAAATTAACCACATGTGCAGACGATATTTACAAAAGTAAAGATATTCAAACCTGAAAAGGAAAATATATAAGTTATTCCATCAACAAATGCCATAAGTTTGTTTATATCTTCATTATTCTATGAGTTATTAAACATCAAAATAGGTCCGAGACTTTATAAACACCATGTATATTGCAAAATACACATCAGCAAAGTACCAATATACTTTATTACTCCTCTATTTGCAAATGATTAGAACTTAAAACATAATATCTAGTTTTTATTTACTAAAATGTATTATTTTATAGCAAAATAACCATTTCACCATTATTCTAACAACATGATGTCTTGTGGAAAATGCTATGTGATGCTACTACATCAGTTATCTGTTCTTATAATAGTTTGCCACACGATAAAACATCAAATGCCTGGTTACTATTTCATTTAATATTTTCAGCATTTTAATTTCATATTATAAAACCCATAAAATTCCTAATACCCTTCTTTTTAAATTTCCAATTTGACTTTTGAAGTACATTTATTGACATCACAAACTTTTCGAATGGTTACGCTGTTCATGAACAAATATTTTTAGAACAGAATATTCCAAACTGGAATAGAACAAAGTTTTCTTGGACTAGTCAGAAATAAAAAGACTCCAAGAAGATGGAAATAGACACTATTTACCTATCTTTATTTTCCGTAAGATTTACTTTTTATGATTACAATACCTTCTGATGTAATGATGGCATCAATGAAAATAATGCATCTATTCTTTAGATGCACATAAATTTATGCTTATACACATGACTCGCATATTTATGGAGGTTAATTCCTTATAACATCTCGACACATATATCTAGTTGTAACAAAAGTTTTCTACCAAAAAAAATGTTCTTAATAAAGTTAGGGGGGATTGAAAGTAGTACTTTTAGAGCAAGTAATAATCACCAACCAAATCTATTGTTTTCTGCCAACGTTTTGGTAATTTTTCAAAGCCTTTGGGCCCAGAAATTTGGTCGACCGAGAGTGCAAAAAAAGATCAACCTCATTTCAGATGTTCTGTGCAGAACAGAAGATAACACCAGCAAGACATAGCTGTAGATGTGATAAAAGGTAGAAGAGCAATATTGGGTCTCTATGGTAGGTGTGGCAAAAGATCCCATCCATCTGTACAGAGCCCAGTCGGTGAATGCAGACGCATGTGGTCTTGCAATAGCTGGATGGAACATTATCTTTTTTGTGTCGGAATTCAGTTCAAGAATTTTCCTTTATAGCAGCATCAACACGGACTAGCATCTCACTGTACATTTTACAGTCTCAAGTTTTATCTTTTTCCGGATAATCTTTATGAATAGATAATACCATGGCAATCCCACCAGATACAAAGCGTGATCATTTTGTTAATAAAATTGCAATTTGAGATGCTGCCCATGGGCTCAGATCAACCTCCTTTTCAAATCGTGTTGTCGAAGTAAATCCACTTTTCATCACAAGTGATGATCCGGTCCAAAATTTTGTCTCTTGCATTGACATTCGAGCAGATTAGTGCAGGCTGGAACATGCCTGCTCGAGTCAGCTCATGTGACACTCAGCGATTGTATATGTACATTAAGTTTATGGGTTGCATAGGACAACTAATGGACATGGCACTAACGTCTAACTCCTTAGCAATCTCTTGAGTAGTTGCATACTAATTGCCTTCCACTAGTAATCGCATGCGGGCTTGATAAACATCAGTAGGCCAGCCAGGGGCGCTCCGCTTCTTGAATGTCATACTCCTTGTTTTTGAACTTTTGGTACCAACAATCTGATACAACATTAGTACCTAAAGCTATACACATGATTTGGTGACATTCTGTAGCTGACTTTTTGCAACAGAACTGGAAGTAAATGATGGTAACGTGATAGTGCGTTTTCAGATACCTTGTACTGTATGATAACGATATATATTTTTACAAATTTCACAACGCAGTGTTCTAAAGCATGTTTCTCTTTTCAAATGCCAAAAATTGTTTGATAAAATATTATGAAACATGCCAATGCAGATGGTTTGCGCAGACGATATTTGCAGTGTATGTGTGGGGAGGACTTTCGTTAAAACCCGATATTTATCAAATAATGTATTGAAGATTTTTTCAGAATGGTGACAGTCAATCAAATAACATACGGTCACAAGAAAACAGAATGGGGGAAAAAAAAGTTACTTTAATTTCCACCTAAGATAAAAATTGTATTAAACCTCAAAATTTTACATAAAAGTCAACACAGAATGCATTCGAAGGATAGATTTTATTTTCACTAATAAACTACAAATAAGTTCAGTCTAGTCTAATATAAAGATAAACAATTCCTTGTAGGTAGGCTGAATTCAGTTATTAGCCTTAAATTTCAAGGTGGGGGAGAAGGGAAGAATAAGATATCTTGGCTCATGTGTCATACACTGTAAACAATAAAGTTCGCTAATTTCTTTTCTCAAACATTACTTGTTTAACCTTTGTGACAAAAACATACAGTAGAAGCAGCTTAATTTAATGTGATTGAAGTTAATGTTCCATTCAGATAATGTTAATCATTTGTCTGAGTCCTGCTCGTTAGTGCAGTAGGTACTGTTTAATGTGATAACATTTGTTCATGGCTATTTTGATAACATTATTCGAATGATGTTATGAAGCCATAAGAGAAATATCCTTCAAAATATTGAATTCAACTAAATTAATATAACTCATATTTGTAGAGCATCCCTTATTTCGGCATTTATAGGACTTATTTCATCATTTTGTTCTTCATAAAGTTTAACACACAGTGTACTTGGATTTGTTTCAGAAAATGACTGGCAAATATCTTCTGTCACTAATGCTGCAACTTCAATTTTTCAGGTATTTTGTAGACATTTTGGCGTGACATAGAAAGATTACTTACAATTTTATTTAGTTACTAGCTAATTTTGATTTGATCTTCTTAAAACTTGAAAAACAGGTTAACTCACAGATGGTTACATTAAATTAAAATCAAGCTACTTAGATCCCTTACTTGGCTACAAGTCTCTCTCATTCAGCAATTTCTGTGCACTATTTTGACCTAATTAGGACACTTGATCTTTTATTTCAGTTCAAAAAATTCATTCTGCAATATTTTAATAATATAAACCGAATTATTGATCTAAAAAGCAACATATTTTCCATGTTCTTGTATGCTAATGGCTGACACTCTACAATTTGATAACAACATCCAAATGATAATATCAACCATGATCATATTAAAAGGCACCGATATGAAACGATGGAAAATCTATCACTTACTGTCATCAGTTAAGTGATGATCAGCAACTCCGTTAATAATATGATTAAACTATTATAGAATTTTTTTTTAATTAAAGACATCAAATGAAAGATCAATTCAGCAAATAATGTCAAATTAGATTCTGATAAGTGCCAAGTGAAAGAGAAATACTACCAAGTGAGGGATTAAGTCGCCAAACAGCTTAGTTTCAACTTAACTCAACAATTTAAAATTAGGCAATAAAAGAAACCTTAGTCTGACACATCATTTTTAAATAACTATCAATTCTGGTGTCTGCAGAACTTTTCTTTTTCCTTGAAACTTCTTAAGGGATATCTTTCTTCAGGACCTGAAGTGTTGAAAAGTCTTTTTTCTTCTGGAGCTGCTATATATATATATATAAATTGCACATTATACAACATACTTCCCTGAAATATCTATGCAAGTCAAATCCTATGTTGCTGATAGCCTTGTGCATTCTACCTACTATTTACAGAACCTCAGCTGCACAAACAAACTAATGACATTGCTAATTATAGCACCTTTACATCTTTTTAATGCTTCAAATACTCTTTGAGGATGTCCAGTTTTCAGTACATGCATTAATAACGAGCATACATGCACATTTTGTTTTTCCTTTTCAGTGTCACATTTTGTATTGTACGAGAGTTAGAACTTTAATAGTGGCAAAACAGCTGAAAAAAATGCTACGCAACAAAACCAAAGAATATCGCGTATACCACACGTGAACTACATACCTACCTTACCTCTCAGCAAAAAGACTCGTCCTGCCTACGTCACGCGCATGCGGAGTGACGCGAAAAATGGATCCTTGTATTAGCTCGCGGTCTAAAGTAAGTGTTGTCAGGATGTTTTCAAAACAAGAACTACGATGTTGGATAAAAACTGAATGTGCCAGAGGTCGTACGGCATGACAGTGTCATCAAGGGCTTCAAGAGGCTTGCGGGGAATCTGCATTGCCTTACAGAACCGTAGCAAGATGGGTGAAAGCATTCAATGAAGGACGCCAAAACGTGGCAGACATGCTGCGGCTAGGTCGTCCGAGTGTCAGCGATGCAGACGTGCAAGCTGTTGCCACACTAATAAACAGTGATCGCCGCCAAACGATTCGTCAGCTAGCCGGACAAACAGGATTAGCGCATACGAATGTGCTGTACATTCTGAAGGAACGCCTGTCTATGAGAAAAATTGCTTCACGATGGGTTCTACATCAATTGACGGAAATGCAGAAATGGCTACGATACGATGCTGCCCGAACCCACCTGGAGCGCTATGAGCGCGAAGGAGATGCTTTTTTACGCTGTATCATTCATTACGCTGGATGAGACTTGGGCCCGATCGGACCAGCCAGAACTGAAACGCCAATCAAACGAATGGCGTCATCACGGGTTACCACAACGTTCGAAATTTTGTCAGAACCCTAGCAATGTGAAAGTTATGGTGATTCTCGTGTACGACTGTGATGGTGTCATCCTAACGCATACCGTTCCCCCACTAAAGACCGTAACTGCGCAGTATTACTGCTCATTTTTGGAGCACAATCTCCAATCAGCTTTGAGAAAAAAAACGGTGACACTTTCTGCAGAACACTCTTCTCATTTTGCATGACAATGCTCGGCCGCATGCAAAGCAAGCTGTGACTGATTTGTTCAAGTGATGGGGCTGGGAAGTGATTTACCATCCAACATACTCCCCAGATCTAAGCCCTTGTGACTAAATTCCTAAGATGAAGGAACCACTTCGTGGCACTCGCTTCCAAACTGTTCCTGAGATTCTTGCGTCAATAGACCAGTCCATTCAAACTATCAACAAAATCAGCGCTGCTACAGGTATTCTGCGACTTCCACATCATTGGAAACGGGTTGTACACAATGCTGGCGACTATATTGAAGGACTGTAAAACATGGTGACATGAATCACTTTTGTATTCCATGTAAATAAGTAGTTGCCACTATTAAAGTTCCAACCCTCATATAAAATAACTACATTAAAATAAATAATGAATGCAATAATGGAATTTATGATATCAAATACTGAATGTGAATTAAAGAGGTAAACTTAATGAATAAAATAAAATATGAAACTGATGAAAAAACTTTCAATGTGTATTTCTCATGCATCATTAAAAATTTGTTCCTCTCCCCAAAAAAGGCTTTTAGTGCATTCGGAAATGGAGACAATTTACAAAAAGTTCTTACTTCCGTCTTTCCTCTCTCCATTTTTTAATTTCTTCAGAATCTTGCAGTTTGTTAATAACATCTGCATAACCAGTGTCATGTTGCTGAAATACAAATTTAGTTTAAACTATTAAAAATTTACATGAGTACACATAAATTTATATGTGAATCAAGGAAGAAAATCATCAAAAAATGAAAGCATATAATGTGGAAATTAAAATCAATGGCATAATTATAATGAAAAGAAAGATTTGTAAAAAGTCTGTTTATGGTGTGGCTTATAATTCTTTGGTTCCCTGGGATTATTATTGGGAAGAGTTATTCCCACTTTTCTTCAACAGGCACTTATAATCTTCAGAAAAGAAATCTGTTGCAAGCAGATAAATGTTCAAAATTGGAAAGATGGGAGAGCCCATACAGTGCGTAATAGCTAGATACTTACTGAACAGTTTGATGATCAAGTCAGTAAGTATACACAGGGTTCGTACACATTTCTGCACACAGAAATTAAATACTTTTAAGGACCATTAATGAAAACAATTTGTCAGCAAATGGGAACTGAATAAATTCAATTAAAAATATTATCTATGCCTGAACTTCACTTTCATAATATCATCCTAAAAATAAAGTTAATCTGCATGTAGGATGCATTATTATTAAACATAATTAACATAATTATCAATAAGTTTGAGAATAAAATAAACTTTATGAAATTTATCAAGTAACGTTAAATATTTTACACTTATAATAGTTGAACATATTTGAAAGAAAATAAGTGACATTTTATTTACGTTTTACTAACAGTTGGCTTTATGTTGATTTTTTTGTGTCTCACGTTCTTGCTCAGTCTAGAGGTTTGAATAATAGCAGGTAGATTTTATGTCAAGCGGCATAGGTTAAAATGAGAAGTAAAAATCATAATCAGCATGTTTCATAACAAAAGACTGGCTGTTGTCACCTCTGGTGTTTGCCTAGAGAGAGACCTCCTGATCAGAGCAAACCTGAAAGGCCTAATCTAGGCATGGTTGGCAAGTTTTGAAAGCTAGCCGGGGCTTTGTCTGATGCAGTTAATGTTGTAGCTTTGTGTAGAGTTCCAGGGGTTGTAACCCAGTACAATAAGGTTCCAACAAGCCAAAGCGTGATTAAGTTGGTTTTGTATTATTTCAAGTCTCACTAAATGCGAAGAATAAGTTTTACAGGAATTTTACATTTTTGAGTTTTATCTTGTGACCACGCTAAGGATAAATGAAATGAACACCTTTTAATATGCAGAGATAATTTTTTAAGGTAAGCAGTTAGTAATAAATAATTTAATTACATTAGCTAGTTAGATAATCTTAGTCCTTATGGATTTACATGGTCACTATTAGATTTTATTTATTTTTTAACAATATTTGTTAAAAAAGCCCTATTAAAATCACAATCTAATAAAATTTCACAGTTTAAAATACATGTAATTTACGACATTGATTCTTAAACGATATCAGGATAATTACACATTAAAATCTACAAAACATTTATGCATCCACGTAATTTGAAGCCTTCCCAGATATTTTGGCTAATTTACATCAATTTGCTTCTCTTTAAGCATCTTTTATAACAATTAGAAATTTATCTCAATACGCAAACCGATGTTCTCACTAGTCTCTGTATGCTTTATCTCCTAAGTTGTCAACCTCCTCAGAATGCACCTATGATGCTGTATTTGATATGGTAAAAATTAAATATTCCAAAATCCCCACACAGACGTGAAACAAATTATTGCTACGTCTGAAAGTAACTACAAAAGTAGACAAAGGTTTAAATAAGCCTTTTACTTCAAAAGAACTCAGACCATAAACACATGTTCTTATTAAGATATAATAACACGCCAAACAAATATTACTTTAAAAGTCAAACAACAAAATTCAGCGTTATATTTTCAAATTTTCACAGGACTAGTTTCGATGGTTTTACCGAACCATCATCCTCAGCTGCAAAAGCTGAAAAAAAGCATGTTCTTATGCTAACAAAATCAATTACAGCTCGTGGTAATGTAATTCAACGAGAAAAGTCAAATTCAAACTATACTCTGTGGACTCCTGGTCAAAGACTATACAATATAATTTTAATTTATGCAGGCTCAGGAACTCTATCTTCATAGCAAATTCAAATGTCAGCAGTGATAATCCAAAGACGAATAATTACAAATGATCAGAGATGGCAGAAACTAATGCAGCAAACAAGCGGAGGTCAGAAACACACTCTGTCTTACACTCCAAAAACCTCAATTTAAAAACTGTCTACGTGATTGCAATCTGGTCAGGAAATCGAAATGAGAAATTATAGTAAAGGCCGAAATTATAAACAACTGGGTAATTTACATAATAGTAACTGTAAGTATCTTTAAAGAATAATTTTCTTTCTCTTTATGTATTCCGTTTCTTTCTTCAACACATTTCGTTTTCATTTTAGAATTTTGGGATTTAAAGATTTATATTATTCTAAAAAAACAAAATGCATTTAAAATGTAAAAAGCTGCTAATTTTATTTCATTATTCAGATGAACATTCAGAAGAAATATGAAATATGTGTGGTAAAGGTTGGTTACAGAGCTGGTGTGGCAGAAGTTTTAGAATTTAGTGACACACCAAGCAACAAAATCTAAAAATGACAAAACTTTTAGATTTTAGAGCAGGCACTGAAAGCAGAATTTAGAAAGGCACTAGGCAGCAGAATTTAAGATCCCCAGAGATTGCATCAGGTGGGAATTCCCCCCTCCCAGCTGAGGATGGTGGTTCGGTAAAACCATCGAAACTAGTCCTGTGATAATTTTGAAAATATAACGTTGATTTTTGTTGTTTGACTTTTGAATTAGCAATGCTCATTAGTTTTTGAAATTACAGCTGAATAATGACACTGCGTTCTGGGATCAGTAAGGAGTAAAGCAACAGGTGTTTTCGAATTTGCATTTACTTTTGTGCCTGGTAAAAAAGGCTATGACCTGCAGTGTCCCGATATCTGCTTTTCTGACCATAGGCTCTGGGGTGCATGAGCATATGCTCTGGACAAGTGGTCAGCTTGTTGCAGGACACCCAGTGTTTAATCCCCAACAAAACTTGGTACTCATTTTATCACATCATTCAAGGGATGAAAGCCCAGCCTGGGGATCGAACCCTGGACCTGTCATACTGCTGCGCAATGTGCTACCAGGCCTTGCAAGAGAATAACTAGTGCATATTTTGAAAGTCTACAGTACAAGAGTTTTGAAATTCTGCAAATGAAAGGCTGTTATAAAAATTATTTTCTTCAATAGCTTGATCCAAATAATAACAGATATAACAGAAATAGCTTTAATGTATGCTGCATTACTTTAGAATGAACTCTTACTATAGTGATTCTAAATCTGTCCATAGAAATTTGTTAAGATTGCAAGTAAAGTACCATTTACAGTTTATCACATATATTCAAAAATCTAATGTCCTCTTCTCAATCACCATTTTATATGCATTATATATACGTATACAAGTTTTAAATGCCAAAGTTGAAAAGTTTTGAATTACATGATAACATACTTTTTCACAAAAATTTCTTCAGGGCTCCTAGTAAAGTATAAGTCCACTTTATCAGTTTTAACCAAAATCTAATATGCTGTTCCCACTAATATAAAAGTCTTAAATACTAAAACTGAAAAGTTTTGGATTATATTTTAATATTTTTTTTCATTAAAAACTGGTATGGGCTTCAAGTAAAGTACCAATTCCTGTTGTCCAATTTTACCCAAAATATAATCAACTCTTTACATGAATGCAAAAAGCTTAAACACAGAAAACAAAAATGTTTGATCGTTTGGTGCAAGTTATTGAGGCTGAAAAAAACTGTCAAACATAGACAGACAGACATTGTAAAAACAGTAAAACAAGTTGTGAACACCTTAACATTTCTGCTTATTCACTGAAAACATTACCTCCCTTACCTATATATATAGGTTGATAGAAGATAAAAAAAGTATACCAATACAGATTTAAAACTGAACTAAATTTAAAACTATAATTTTTCACATAATGTATTTGCAATAATGTATATTTACAGCATAAATAATGTGTTAAAATGTAAAATATCTGAATAAAAGAAAGGGAGTTTAGATGACCTTTTTGAAACAGGTGGATGATTCATTTTCAAAAGAAATAAGGAAATGCACTTTTCAAACGAACTCATAGTTATAAGACAGACACAGATTTTATGCAGTAAGAACACGGATTACAAATGATTTGCTTAAACTTATTTCTAAATATTAACTTGAATGTATTTGTACAACATTTATAAATCCAAACTTAATTATAGTTCTTGACCACACTTCTATTCTTCAGAATATGCTAAAATAAGCAAAAGTGCTCACTTATTTGTGTTGTGGAAATACAATTAATAATAAAGGAAAAAAAAAAGTTATGAGCAAAAGAAACTCCAGTTTCTTACAATCAAACTGTCATGAAATTGATCAACACTCAGTACAACTAATATCCACCAAAACACCAACAACTTATTTGACCCTTTTGGCAAAGAAATATATTTTCGACATAAAAAAATCAATTAAAATCATTTTGATCAATTAAATAGGTATTCTGATTTCCTGCAAGTACTGTTTGGTAATTGCATTCAAAAGTACACCACATTCTTATTTCTACAGCAGTCTTTATATAAATCCTGCTAGTCAATTGGCAACTGGTAGAGACATTTATTACCAAACAAGGATCAGAGACAGTACAGCATGCAGAGAAATTGCTTTTGATGTGAATGTAGCAATACAGAGCCTGCAAGTACACTTTTTACACAATTTTCATCATATTTACAGAAATATTTTACCTAAAATTTTTGTGTTTTAAATGCCCTATTTGAAAACCTTTATTCTTTACTATCTTTCTACATCTTAATTTCCAAAAATAAAGCCTTTTCCAGCATCGGAAGAGGTATTTTATCCCATTCCTTTTGAACAGCTTTCTACAGTCCAAGAAGGGTTGTAGGTCGACATTTGGACAATCCACTTTTTAAAAGTCCAAAAGTGCAAAAATCCATGGGTGATACATGAGGAGATTTAGTAGGGATATGAGTGACGGGTATTGTCTTGATACACGTTTCTTGTTCTATTTTCCCCATGAAATTTGATCTGTGGCTGTTTGCTTTGTCTTGATGCAGTTCTACTGATTGATAGCACTATGGATAAAGAGAAGATATTTCATGTTTGAAAAGTGGGTATAAAATATGTTCCTGATAGTACAGTTGATTTTAATACTTTTCTCCACTGTTCCTTCCCCCCCCCATTATAGGAAAAACCAGCATATATCCCTTTGGAAAATTTTCTTTAGATTCTTTGAACCATGTTTTAAGATTTTTTCTCCATTTTGATGATAATAAACAGATCTTTTTGTATTACAGTCATTTAAACACACAAAAGATTCCTCTATTAGGACAAAATTTTTCCACTTTTGTCTGGATAAATGTTTCTCATAAAGAATTCTGAAGCATGTTCTGCTTTAGGTGCTATGTTGCAGAGAAATGATAATGTTTTTTCGCCTTTATAAGAGTTCATTCAGCATTAATCACTTATAGTCGACAGAGTATTTTAATGATTTTGCAACTGTTCTTTGACTTGGTGGATTTTCTTTTAACATTAAAGATTTTACCTTTGCAAAATTCAAAAGATTTCATTTTTTTCTTGGATATGCATTTTGAAAAATTTTTCCACTTGAAGCCAAACTCTGACATTTTTCCTTTCTTGTTGATAATATTACCTATCATACATGTTTAGATATTGAAAAACCATGGCTTTCACAGCATTTTTTTATTAACTAGGTATGAATAATTTTTTTCGGAGAGGGCACAAACATAGCCTTCCATCCACGGCTTCATTAAATGTTCCATTTTACATGAAAATAAAACTGTGAAGTAGCAGAAAACAATTTATACTTTCAAAAATAATAGTTGAAGTTAAAAACCTTTTCCAAGCAGACAATTTTTGTTATAGCAAAGTAAATTCATCTAAAAAATGTGCGACCAGCCTCTGAAGGCTCCATCAAAGACAATAAATGCAAAATGGAAAATTTGATGCAATTTTTTTTTTATTAAAAAAGGCAGGAACCAGCGAAGAAGGCTAAGTGTTTAAAGGCACAGCTGGTTTCTAGATTTTAAGGAGACTAGCATTTACATATTTTTGAGATACAGGGAGCCAGTATGATAAGGGTGCAGTCACTGATTTAGTTAAAGAGTTTGGGGAATTTGTAAAGACTGGTCTTTATGTGTTCTTTTTGTGTTTTGAACTATTATGCATTTAGAACCTGGAACCCTTTACATATTTTGACTGCTTTCTTACATATGAGGAACAAGCCACTAAGACCTATGCATTAGGGGAAAAAAAAAAAAATGCACTACCTGAAATTGCAATACTTTTAAAATTAAGAAAGTCAAATATTACCATTTTCTTATGCAAAGCAACAATTTTAGGATGGGCTTCAAAACAGCAACCAGCAAAATCACACTAAAAAAAAAACAGTAAAAAGAGTTATGAAAAAAAAAAAAAAAAACATAATTTTAATAATATAAGCATAAATACATAATACCTTCAAATTACGATAAACTAGAAAATGTAAATTGAAAATACTTTGGAAAAAATTCAGAAATCACATATTAATCTACCACTAACATCTAGACATACAACAAACCTGAAACAAAACTCATAAGCAATTAACTTATAAGCCTTAACTACTGATCCTGAATATCATTTAACTACAAAATTTTATGAGAACAATTTCAATATTTCCAGTGGAACTGTTTTAAAACTATAAAATCTAAACTCTTCCCCATACATCAAAATATTCAATTATAAAAATTTGTTCATTAAGTTAAATGCCAAAGATTTCAATCTTTTTTTTTTTTTTTTTAAGACACATTAGATTTAATAAAAGTTGCATGCTTTAGAAACTTGAAAACTTTTATTTTATTTTATATTTTTAAATTATGGAACTATCTTGTGTTCTTCTATGGTAACAGTGCATTTTTCAGAGCAAATGATCATTAAAATAAATTTATAAATTAATACTAATAAAAGAAAATTTTAAATTTTGCTCAAATTACCTTTGCTTGGATTTGGGCAAGTATATGCAGTATTTATTATCTTTTTATCAGTGTCTGTGGCTCAGACCAAAATATCAAAACTTTTGCTAATGCAAATGCAAATGCTACTATAATTTTAACACTTATCACAATGACATATTTAAGCTAATTTTGAATGAATGAAACTTTATACCTAAAAAACCTAGACCAAAAAAACTTTATAATAAAATGGTAGTTCAACAGTCCAATACACGAATTTACTGATAAAATAAAATTTTTAGAACATGTGGAATTTTACAGTTTAACAGTTAAGTAGCAAGACTCATTTTATGGTGGAAAAATGAGAAAGATCTCAGCCACATAATTCGAGTATGTGTATTTTAGTAATATCCAGATTTCCCGTTTATGCCATCATAGTTAGACAGGAAGGTCTAATTGGAGGGAATTTCTAGTATGCTTGAGAACTTGTCACCCAAGATGGTTCTTACACATAAAGTGAATCACATATTGTTGCATATTATCAGCCTGACATTACTGCTTCTTGCAGCTGGTGAAGGACTAGGAGTCAATTTCCAATTCTGGGATTTTTTAGAAATTTATGCAGCTTTGTCAAAATATGACAGCAGACATCCTCGAGAGGCAGTGAATTAAAAAAATAAAGATTGCACTGAATTTTATGCACAAGTGACAGAACTACAGGGCATGCTCCAAAATGTTGTTAACTACAGATGATGAAGTTGCTAACTTATACATGAACAATCCTCTTATCAATCGACAATCTCTTGAACCTTTATTCTGGAAAAAGCCTCGGTAAAAGTTTACAATTGGGTGCCCCTTGCTTTTTGGAGATTCTTTTTTGACGCCAAGATCAGAGCCAGGAAGGCATAATTTCAAGATGGCCGCTACGCAAAACCAAAATAAGAAATCAAAGATTGTACAAACTCTGTGTCCATGTACACATTGATCTGTTTTCACTTAAAAAAAAAAAAAAAAAAAAAAAAAAAAAATCCTAGAATTGCACAAACTAGGCATTGCACACTGCCTTAAATTTGTCTATGTACACATCAATCTATTTTCATTTAAATAAAATCAGGAAGCTAAAACTAAGTTAAAACTATCATGGTAACCAGAAGTGAGGTTTCATGGCCAAAATTAAAAAACAAAATTGTCTCTAATTGAAGGGGCACCCAATTCTACACTAGAGCTAAAGCCTCAACTTATTTCCTACCTTGATGAAATTCCTCTGCCAGAAAAACACATTTGACCAGAAGACTAACAGGTTAAAAAGAAAACAATTTGATGAACTAACTTAAAAGGAACAGAATTTTAATATAAAAAATTTTACTTGCAAATTATTCATACATAGTTGAACCAAATTAAGGGGGAAAGATAAATTCTACTATTTTCTTTTACTAAGATTTACTACAGCATCAAGTACTTCCTGCCATTTTTCATTTATAACCTAAATGTCAATATTTAATGCTGTCTATCAAACATGATAAGAAATACTACACTATTTTAGTCAGAGAAAGAACATTGTTATGTAATCAGCACGTAACAAAAAGAAATGTGAAGTTTTATTTTAAACTAGGAAAAAGCCCTATTCAAACAGATGAATTGAAAGAATCATCGTTTATGTCATGCACAAACATTCAGGCAGTATGCTAATTTCAAAGAAGTATAGAAATTACTGAAGATGAAACTAGGCCTGCATGTGCAAGTTTTGTTCATAACGAGTTTATAAAAGAAAATCAAAATATAATTACAGAAAGAGCAGAGGATCACGACTGCAGAATATTGACTGGGAGATTGGATAATATTTGAAGATAAGTTTGTATTAGTGAGGAAATACAAAGCATTTTTGAAAAGTAAGGCCTCATATTCATTCAAAAATCTTTTAACTGATGCAACTCCCATTACAAGTTATTTACTACAACATGTTTTATTTTTCCACATAGCTGCTACCACTGTCAAGCATTTGTTAAGTTGATGTAGTTTTTAATATCATAGAAGTTTACCACCTGCTCCAGAAACCATATTTTAACCTGAGTTTGATTTCAACATGGTCATGGAAGTTTTGCCCTGCAAGATGTTTCTTCAGGTAAAAAAATACATGGAAGTCACTGGGTGGAAAGTTCCGGCTGTATGGCAAATAGTCTAAAACTTCCCACTTGGAACTTCCGAGAAGTGCTTTTGTTTGAGGATGAGTACTCTCATGAAGCACGCAGACTCTGCTCGTTAGTGTGCTCCTAGGTTTGTTTTGAACAGCCCATCCGAAATGTATCAAAGCCCAGCAATATATATATCAGCATTAACCTTTTGAGGCCGGGGCTTTGGTAGCAGTAAAAGCTACCAAAGGACGGGGAATCTTGAACCGAATGCTTTCCTCCCTTTAAGAAATCACCTCCTATTTGCAACAAAGATTCTTGTGTGTAGTTTAATGGATTCTCAGAGGGGTCCATCTGTGTCGCAAAAGGAAGACCTTTGAAAGAGATAAGTGGTTAAAACCCTAGGGATGTCAAATTTGACATTTCATCCCACTTTTCAGCCTGGAAAATGGGGGACAAAGACATGGCCACTAAAGTGGACAACCCCGTCTTTTCAAAGAGAGGACTCTATGGCCACTATAATGGCCATCCCGTCTTCAAAAGGTTAATTATAGTGTCAGGAGGTATAAAGCCAATCAGTAGAATGCCTTGTCCCAGAAAACAGAAGATTAAAAAAAAAAAAAAGTTTTGAATTTCTTGGCATTGGGGGAATTCATGTGGGACACTGCATTGACTATTGCTTGGATTCTGGTGTGCGGTGATAAACCGACATCTAGTCATTAATAACAATGTGATTAAGAAACTTGTACCTGGTGAAGTCACCGCCTTCATCAACTTGTTAAATGAAAGTAAAAAACGTCACCACCTTCATCAACTTGTTAAATGAAAGTAAAAAACGTCACCACCTTCATCAACTTGTTAAAGCCTTGTCGAGTCTCTTGCGTTTTGGTAACATACACTAAGTCAAGACTCTACTTAGACAGAAGCAACTTATTGCTATGTCTAGATAAGAAAACAGAAATCTAAGAAGGATGTAAAAGATCCTTTAATTTAAAACTAAGTAAGTTTAACAGAAGGGAATCCTGGTGCTTTCAAATCACCAGCATTTATGGCCTGAACTCAAAAAGTAGAATTTTAAATTAAATTTAAATTAAATCCAAGTGTTTATTAGCCAAAGGCTATGGCATAGATATTTAAATATGCAAGTTGAATCTTAACCTACATTGGTGTGATAGCACTATCTGCAAGAATCGTAGACAGGAATGCTTAACGTAGAGTAAGTAGCAATGTGGCTTTCAGCAGGCAGAACACCCTCTGATTAAAACAATCTCAAACCCTCACTTAAATATATAGGAGATAATTTGCATTCAGACAGGAAAACAGAAGAAGAGAAGTGACAGTATAGATGTGGAACATAAAATAACTGGTTAATTAATAAATACCTTACACCCTAATTTTTTAGCACACATGTACATGTTGAAGAAAATGAACGAAATAATAATAAAACTCCAAATAACACGCCTGGTGTACTATCATCCAAGCAGCAATACAACACGAGAAGTACATCATAATATATAATAATTAGCATTGTCAAAAAGACCGAACTTAATCAAAAAACTTAAGTAAAAAAAATTAAACAAAATGTAATAAAAATGTATTGACATGAAACTAGACATGGGAAAATAAGACAAAAAGATGAAATACTTTTGCAAGTTTGACTCGAAATTTCCTTACCAGTGTATGTAAGAATTACAAGTCATATTTTTTTTTTAATTTAAAATTAAGCAAAAATAAATAAATAAAAATAAAAATATCTTAACTAGGAATTTCAATAATTGTTGTATGCAAGATACATTATTGAAAATATTTTCTATTTCTATTTTCCCACGCAGAGTTTTAATCATGCATGGTTTTCATGGTTACTTTGATATACAGAAAACTTGTATCATTACTTATACACATGTAATATTTTGGCAGTTGGGCACATGAGTGAAGTTTTGCAATCCAAGGACAACACAGAAGTTAACTGTTTTGTTTCCACATCTTTATTCAGTTGAAAGGCATATCATCACTCTTTACTAAATAAATTAATTTCAATGCATCATAGTATTCTAACAAAGAAAGGCAGAAGAGCAGCAGCACAGATCTTAGTAGCAAAGGGAGAAAGCGGTCTCTCTGATGCAAAATGGCGCAGTTTTCTATTTATAGAAGCGATTACGTAATACGCTATGCTGGAATGTTCTCAAAAGTACTGGTCTGGGGGGGGGGAAGACCCTGAAATTGTGGAAAGTTAATTAAGGGTTGCTTGTTCGCATAGAGCAAAGCCATTATTTTTACTTCCTTGTACGAAGTAAAAAGGAAGTATTGTAATCGCGAAAAGTTTCAGGCAGCATATTTCAACGAAAATATACATTTTGACCGCTATCGAATGCCATTTAACGATGTTTTTGCGTGATATCTGTACAGAATAAAATACTCTTTTCCTTCAAAAAAATTATAAAACTGCTTTAAAATTAATTCTAAAGAGAATTTTCGTGGCGTCTGTACGAACGTATGTACGTACATACGTGCGTGCGTGCATACGTACGTATCTCGCATAACTCAAAAACAAGTAGCCTCAGAACGTTGAAATTTTGTATATAGGACTGCTATAACATGTCGATGTACACCTCGTATTTTGGTTGCAATCGGCAGCACCAAACATATATAAATATATTTATATATATATCCACTCTGTTACCCGGCTCAGTGATCTCAGTTTCTTTACTCTTATATGTTGGTAAATTGTACATTTTTTGCTTTAAAAATGATTGAATTATGTTGTTTTTATCTTCCGGTTAAGGATTTTATGCCTTTAGTAAATCTGTGTGCAATATTTTTAGAATTATCAGCAATTTTAAAGTTGTTTAATTGCCGCTAAGCCTTTTTTAATGGCGGCCATTGATGTTTACATTTGAAACAGGAGACTAGTGGATTTGTTGCCAATCTAGAGAAACTTAGATTCGCAACAATAAAGATAATGCCTTCATTTATTATTTAAATCATGCTTAATCCTTTCCGGAATTTTTTCGAGGAAATAAGCATTTAAGATTTACTTCGTAATTTTTAATATAGATACTTTGAGTTTTTATGTATTTTTGCCTTCTCGCGAAGTGAGAACTGAATTAATTAAATGAGAAATACTCAATTGTCTGTGAAAAACTGTTTCTTTTTTGTTTTGTTTGCTTAATTTCTTTTATACATCATTCTAGCTTTATTATAGTATTTGAATAGAATATGTGACAACGATTAGATAATTCTATTCTTTAAATGATATAAATTTTGTGCATTATGAATTATAATATGAACGAAATAAGTTAACTGTTATATAATTATTGGATTATATAACAGTTAACTTAGTTTCCATTATAAATTATTTATAAAGTTAACTGTTATATAATTATTAATACTGTTTAGTGAATCTAGCACCAGAGTGTCGCTATGGTAAACAATACTAGAGTAATTTTAAAGAATGCATTTATTCTACTGTGGTTTATGTGTTGTCGGCAAAGTAGATTTAATTCAATCCAATAAGTTTAAATGAAATGCAAGACAAAATGCGTATAATTTAATATTCCAATATAAGGAAGTCATGTGGTGTACACATCAGATTTTTTATATTTTACATACATGTATGTATTTTTAATACTAGACATTCTATACATCTTATTCAAATGCAACTATAAATAAATTAGATTTGTTACCTTTGTGTGCTCCATTAGATGAGACTGAAGTTCATTTTCCAAGGCATAGGCTCGGTCACATGTATCACAATAAAAAGGCTTCTCTGTTGTGTCATCCTAAATAAGTTTTATAACAAAATTCAGACATTTAGCTAATTGCATGACAGAAAAAATATCTTGCATTAAACGAATAGTTACTTATAATATACATAATACAAATACTAAGAGATAAATAAGCAACAAGCAGGTAAACTTTATAATTCTAAGTTAATACATCAAATAAAAACAAATTTCAATTTAATTCTGAAAAATATATATAGAATTTTAAAGTATCATGCTTAATTACATATAATTAAATCTTAAAAATATATGAAACATATAACTGAGAATGCTTTATTAAGAAATTATAGAAAAATAGATAGAGCTGACATAGTCAGAAGTATATATAAATAAGTGATTTCTTTGTTCAATAAATGGCATAATTTAAAATAATAATGCATTAAATATTTCTAACATTTTTGAAAACACAAGGTATACTCGACATGCAAAAACTCAAAAAAATTATTATAATTTTTTTACCATAAAAAATTACTACTCAGATTTGGCAATGTTATAAGTATCTCATCATTAATGAAAAATATCTATAAAATAAATCAGTTCAGGATACATTTTTTAACTAGACTGACAAAACCACCCGAATATAACCATTTGACTTGTGAAATATACTAGGAAAATAAAGCTGATTTGGGCCAATTTTAATGTCATGCATGATTAAATCCAAAGAACAAAAAATATGAAAGTTTTAAATGAAGTGCTTGATCCAGAATGCCCTATCTTTAGCTAAAGAAAACATACTGTAAAATGGTAAACATGTACCTGTAATACAAGCAATTAAAATTTCAAGCTAAAATATTTGTACCGATAATCAATCATTTCGAAGGAATTATTTTGCAGTTCAAAATGCAGAGGAAAAAATTACTACAGTGCATTTTATAGCATATATAGTGAACTGTTAAGTTTAGCATTGTTCTACAAGTTGATATTTCAACCAACCTCTTTTGTTTTTCGTGTGATCAGCCCAGCTTTTATTTTAGCATCTTTGATGAGGGAACTTACACGATTCCTTTGAAGTCTGAACTGTTGCCAGATTTCAGGATCATCAGAAGATTTTGCTTTGAAATATAAATTGTTCTTTTTCTGGACTTCAGTAAAAATTGCATCAGTCATCCAAGACTATAAAAAATGACAGCACACTTGTGTATGTCTCATAACGGAGAGATTACATGGGGTTCAGCAGAAGAAACTGTCCATTATGAAATGGAAATAACAAAAAGCTAACATATGCTTTCTGATATGTAAACAGAAGAAGCTAGCTGTACCAGATGTCACTATCAACATAGAATTGGCATGGTAATTTATAATAACTCTAGGAAAATCACAATTAGTGACAAATATCAAGAATATCCTTGTAAGAACTGAAAGAGCTGTTTCACATGCTCTTAGGTCATTACATGGGACTCACAGTTTGAAATTTCTTTCTCTCCATACATTTGGAAGAAAACAGCAATGCAGAACTTTATATTTAGAATTCAGGTATATAAATGGCATAACAATACAACTTTTGCAAAAAAACTGATACGGTTTATGCGTAGTGAGAATATAATAATAATATCCTATACTAAAATGCAATTAATTAATCGAACACAGTGAGAATAAACAATCCTAGATCAGTAATGACAAAGAGTACATAGGGCCACTTCTGTTCCATCAGTACAATAAACTGTATATTGTATTACTGTCGATTTTGTTACTTCCATTACATGCTGAGGAGGAGTTTTTTTTCTGCCAGAACCTGTATAAAAATTCTGTATGCATTTCATGTATACACATAAAATGCATACAGATTTTTTAACACAGCCTCACAGCATAAAAATGCAGAAGATTAATTTGACGAACAGAAGAAGATATCAAAGATTATTTTGACACAAATTTCACATTATATATATGTGAGCAATGACTATCAAATACCCTACTTATTAATATTGTTCTTGTACAGCAATGTAGGTTAGTTCTATAGATCAAGTAAAATACATTAAAAAAATGCCAATTAAGAACATTATAATTATGACACTGGCTGATTGCCAAAATAAAATAAAGGTGCAGGTTTGATTTTCTAGTTAAAGGTCTAGCTCTGTGTGTGCTGCCTTCCTCCCCTCCAGTGTGAAAGGCACAAATCAATGAAATGGTCAAATGACTGTGCAAGCAGAAGAATCTTGGAATATGGATCATATCATTTTGAAGATAAATAGTTTAGTTTCACAAGTCTGACCATGTCAATGATGTAATTTGACTATAAGAATATCGAAAAATAGTAGGGTGTGGCCATAAACAGACTGGATAATCATGACATAAGTAGTTTTTCAACAATCAGTTCAAGCAACAAATGTGCAACACAGCAATAAACATTCAAATGTAGTTCTAAAACCTTTGCTAACATTAGTGTGAGGACTATACCATGATCTCTACATCATACTTTAAAATACTGACACTGACTCCAAGCACCATTGCTTACATTACAACACACAGCTTTTGTATTTCATACTGGATTTAAAACCATCACTATTAGACAACAGAACAGCAGAAATAGCTGACTAATCTGAGTCACATTTAGAACTGATCCAAGACAATGGAAGAGTTCATAAGTGGAGAAAATTCTATAAATCAATGGATCCAGAAAGTATCAACAGTGTACAGATTGTTGATAGCTGGTAACAGAATAGGATATATTCACCTAGTACAAATTACGATCCTCACTATGCCTGTTCTCGCCTCTGAATGATGAAAGTTATATTAACCTGCCTTTAAAGGTGTTACCACCCAATCATATGTACACTCTGATGAAGCTGACCTTCTTCAGTAAAACAGCAAGCAAATATATATTCTAATAATCACTTTATAATATCTGAAGAATACTCAGCTGAGCTTGAAATTATGAAATATTCCATTGTTCACCTGACCTTGATGTTATAAAAGTAGACTTGAGATGTTTATCTATGCTGCATTACCCATAAATATTACAGAACCATGAATGATTCTTTAGAAGGTATAACATTCATTTTCCGCAGATTCTATTAGAGAGCTTGTAAAATCCACATTCCACCTTGTTTCTGCAATTCTACAGAAGTCAAATTATCACGTAACAGACAAATGTCCCAGTTTTATTTCTCTGGCATATCAATACACAATAAATTGTTTATATGTGAATGAGGAGGTGAAAAACTGTAAAGGAGCCCTTTATTTCAAATTAACATAAATGTCTGACAGTATTGTAAATGTATATTTAATGCCGTATCTCGCATAGCGTATGATAATATTTGATGCCTACATTTGACATGTAAATACTAGTTTCATTCAGTTAACAAAATAATATTAAGAGATTTGGAAATTTTAATATTTCTGAAAATGAGTTTATTTTTCAAAACCACTTTTAACGCATAAATGTTAATTTTTCTTAGTACTATAGACTTACTTATCCTGCTCTCCCAATAATGACAAGTTAAAGAATAAGTCAGTAAGAAGCAATATATGTAATGAATTACAAATGAGCAGATTTTGAATTGGATTCCAGAGATACAAATTTTACCTAGTGACTACTGTTGAATCAAATATGATGCAAACGGGTATCTAAGTTATCCCAAAATGCATCTCCCATTTTATCTAAGCTATACTTGACTGACTGATCTTAATTAAAGTGAAGCTATTTGCCAAAGAACGGGCGCCTTTGCACAGTACACTCTAATAAAAAAATGGCATGTATTCAAGTGACACATGGGGAAAACTGCAAAAATACCTATGCAGCTAGCTTATCTACTGGGGTTTGAACCTAACCAAATTACCAGTGTCAAGCAGTCTTATCAACTTGATCACAGATGGGCTTTCGACTTTGGCGATAAATAATATTTTACTGCTGATATGAATAATTATATGATATGTGGAATATATCAGCATGCATAGGACCAGTAGAGGCTAGCGATGGGCAATACTTTGAATAAAGCATAGCATACTGTACTTTTACAATAGATACCCAATTTTTGATTTAAAAAATACTTTTGATTATTTATCTATTTCTACCTAAATTTTATTAAAATTGTTAGACAATCATTCCATGATCAGATCATATACTTTTTTCCATTGCATTTTCGCTTAATTTAAAATCTACAGTTACGTACTGACACTAGATTCTTATGCCAGGGGTCAATATTTAAAGATGCACTTTTTAACATTATTAAATGTTAAGAAAACATAATACAGTGAAAACTCAATTATCCATTGTCTTTTAACCATCACTTTTTAGTATCCACTGGCTACTCACCCTTACTCCTTTTTAATATATTTTGCTTAGTGATTGTTTCAGATCTATATTAAATTTTTATCGTTTGGCTCTTTTAATTTATATTACTTTCTATTATACTGCATAATAGTTTTACTGTAATAATAGTAAAAATGCTACGGAATTAAAACATTAATAATTTTCTATTTTTATCCATAATAAAAATGTATGTGCATTATTAATGCCCATATTTGATGGGGAAAGAAGAATTTTGTTAACTGTGTATTCTTGCATATACCACAGTGTGATGATCTTAAGACTGATGGACAATCGAAGATTCCATGATTAAATTAATATTGTTAATCTAAATCAAGTATTAAAGAAAATTAACAACAGGAAGTTTAAATAAATTACAAAGAATACGATAACAGATGATCTACTGAAAGTGAAACACATTCATATCAAATTCCAGAGTTTTCTTAGGCACTCTCATATTAGAGGAATTGAGAATGAACACTATGTGCACTCCAGAAAAATGAGAGATGAGCTTCTTGTATATCCTACGTAGAAGTGAAAGAATTTTATTAGAATGCATCAAGCATCAAAGGAGCAAAATACAGCCATTTCTCGGTTTATAAATGTAATTTGTGCATTGTATATTTGTGCTACACAAGTAAAAAATTTTAAAACATATCCAAGATTTTCATTTATTCAGTTGGTATACTTTATAAACAAATGAAAACTCTTGGTAATAAATGAAAATAGATAAAAACTGAAATAATACTGA